CGGAAAAGGAAAATCAGGAAACAAAAAGGGCAGTCACCAACGAGGTGGCTTTAAACCCTTCAGAAAAAGCGGCTCTGGCGGAAAGGCCAACGAAAACTATGATCCCTACGACCAGGCATATTGGGGAAAAGGCAAAGGATAGAAGGGAAAGACAGGAAAATCAAAATTCCAATATCCCTATGATGGAAACAAGGGTTATCCATCCTATGAGAGTGGCAAAGGAAAGAGCGGACAGGAGAAAGGAAAATCCAAGACGTTCGCAGCCACCGCAGAGAAGACGGAGGAGCAGCCCGCCATCCAGCAGACTGCACCATCCATCGAGCCTCCCTATGCCGGTTGGACAGACCAAGACTGGGATCAATCATGGACATGGAACGAACATGGCTGGTACTCATCTTATGAGACATCCAGCGCAGGACAAGCGTTAATGGCATTCCATGATGCGTATGAGCATCCTGGGAAAAAAGCCATCCGCGAGAAGCTGATCCAATCAGATACAGTTTCAGAACACAATCTGTCCGTCGCAACAAATCACAGCCTTCTGGCAACAAAGCTGATGGCGCCTGTCATCAACCCTCAGCACAACCCGACCTATGCGATTCTGGACAATGGATGTACCAGATCTATGGGCAGCTGGCATGCAATCCAGCGTTTTACTCAGGCCATCGAACCAATGAAGGACATCATCTCCTATGAGTACATCCCGGCCGAGACCAAGTTCACTTTTGCAAACGGAGAGACCGCCAGGGTAAATTGGACCCTGCATCTTCGATATCACACAACTCCTCCATGCAGTACCAACATCGACGTCCTTGAACAAGGAACTGTACCGATCCTTCTCAGCATCAGCCAGATGCGGAACCTCTACATGACCATCGAGCACACACCTCAATGTGACAAGATCACATGCAAGGCCTTTGGCATGAACCGTCAAGCAGTTCCAGTATCCGGTACAGGACATGCGCTCGTCGATCTCGCTGGAGTTGCAAGAGTGAAGGCGCATGGAGAAATTGCTCACAAGGGCCTCATCAACTATGTCTATGACGATGATAACAGCATCAAGTTTCCCTCCGGGGATCTCACCAAGAGCGAAACTGTTTGTGCAGCAAAATCATCCGAGACAAAGGAGGACCTAGCAACTCCTAAGATCATTGGGTCTCAAAAGCAGGACCATTG